TCGCTTCGCTCGGGTACTCCTGGACGAGGCCGAAGAGGCTGGGGGACATGATGGCAGGGCAGAGGAACCGTAGGAAGAGGGAGGCCGAGACCAGGCGCTGCCCAATGGGTGCCTTGCCCCGCGCTGCGCACTCCTCCTGCCACGCCGCGAAGATCTCGCCCAACTCTGCAGGGAAGGCGCTGTGGGGAGAGAGACATCTGGTGGGGCTGGGGCAAGCTGGTGGTCCTGGAACCCCCCCACGTGCCACCATGATGTGCTGTGGGACGTGGTGCCCACCATGCTTGTTCCCGTGTCAGTCCCCTGTGTTTGTCCCCAAGGTTGTCCTCAGGTCCTTCCTGGTGCCCATCCCTATATCTGTCCCAGGGGTGGTGCCCATCCATGTCCTCCATGTCTTGTTCCCAGGTCCTTCCTGGTGCCCATTCCCATGCCCATCGAGGGATGATGCCAGTCCCCAAACCCATCCCAGTGACAGAGTTCCTGTCCCCCTGCCCGTTCCCATTCCCAGCCCCAAGCTCATCCCTCTGCCCACACCCATCTCCAAGCTTCTCCCCAGGTTCTCCTGCTCTTGGTGCCCATCCCCAAGCCCATTGCAGTGATGGTGCCGGTCCCCCCATTCCAGTGACAGAGTTGCTGTCCTCCTGCCTGTTACCATTCCCATTCCCAGCCCCAAGCTCATCCCTGTGCCCACACCCATCTCCAAGCTTCTCCCCAGGTTCTCCTGCTGTTTTTGTCCATCCCCACACCCATCTCCAAGCTTCTCCCCAGGTCCTCCTGCTCTTGGTGCCCATCTTCATGCCTGTCCCATTGCCCGTGCTGGTGTCCATCACCAAACCCATCCCTGTATAGGTGCCCATCCCCGTGGCCATCCCCCTGCTCAATCCCCTGCCCGCGCAAAGGCTGCCCCCTCACTCGCAGGACGTGGCGATGCGCTGGAAGGTCTCCTCGCAGACCTGCCGCAGGTTGTTCTGGTTGTCGGAAAGGTCAAGGCCAGAGCATTTGCTGGGATCGACCTCGCAGCTATCATCCGAGGTGCAGAGCTGGGCCACAGCTTCACCTGGGCACCAAGCGACAGCCCGTAAGGAGACCAACAAGCCCCCACCTCATCCCCATGGATGTCCTGGGGGTGTCCTACAACCCCGTAATGCTCTGCCCATGCCCTGCACCCCATAACACCCTGTAGCACCCTGGCATGTCATGCCTGAGCTGTCCTGCACCCCGTAACACCCCCATAATGTCCCGCAAAGACCTGTAACATTCAGACATACCCAGCGTGTCCTGGAGGTACTTGCCCCCCACCAGTTTCATGTACTCATCGATGGCCTTGGTGGCCAGTGTGTTCTCACGGAAGATCAGCGCCTCACGATCATCGAAGCGGTCCAGCTCAGCCACGCCCAGGTCGATGAGGAACGACTGCCAGGTGGATGTGTTGAAGGCTTCAGCGGGCACCCATGGCACCAATCAGCCTTGATCAACCCATCCTGGGGAGCACCAGGAGCTCCTGGCACCCCCTGAATTGCGTTCCCCATCCCATCTCACCTATCCCATCCCAACTGCTCCCAACCCAACT